CCCAATTAACAAATGAAAAAAAAAAAAAAAAAATCAAGTTTTAATGGACATTCAAGAATCGTAATGCTGGTCCACATGAACACAAATGAAAAATCATCCTAGAAGTCTAGAAGTTTAGATACATTTGAACAGTAAAATTAAAATATAAATATTTATATTGCAGGTTATGTTATTTAAGACAGTATACACAAACACAGAAAATTTTTTTCTTAGCAATACAACATATCCAGATGTAAAATACAATTCTTAACTAAACATATGCATTTAATTGCCTGCTATTACATAATAGCAGCATGAAGTTGCAACATAAAGATATGTATTTAAAAAAGTATGCCACAGCATTCTGGAGCTACAAGTTATACACATTTTCTTAGCAGTCTGACATTAATAAATTTTGTCAAAAAAAAAAAGGCTAAAGAAAATATTAATTCTTTTTTAAAAATCATATCACTAGTTAATGGCCAGTAAAAGATACTCCTTGAGATTCTTAAGCTGGAATTATATTAGACATGAAATAAAGCAGAAACTGAGAGTTCCAGAACAAAGTTTTTCTCCCTCACTTTAAAATAACCTATTTATGTGTATGGGATTAATTTTCCCAAATAGTAACTATCTAAAACTTAGTCACTCAGTCTCCCCTTGGACAATTTATCTGGGGACTATATATAAACACCCTGGACATTAGATGATAGAGATAAATAGGAACCTTCAGAGGATGGTTCATTCCATCTACTTTAGATACTTTTTCAGGGTGAGATGACTCATATCCTGAAGATATATTTGTTTGTCCATTAAATACAGAACTGGCCTAATGGACTAGCTTACTCAGACATAGAACTTTACTGTTAGAAGTTTAAAATTAAACTAAGTAAGCCTGCAACTTATTGCCATAAAAGGAGAGCTATCATCTTCCTCATACAGTACTGCAGGAAGAGCTTAAAGTATTAATACTTTTTTGCCAACAAGAACAAAATATGAGAAGTTCATACAATATTTCCTATTTCCTACTCACAGCAAATCCTCACTCTTCAATTGCTTCCAGCAGATCTTTGAGCAGCATGAATCAAAATGCCCAAGTCAAATTACAACATAGCATTCATATTTAATAATATGTTTTTCCTTAATAACATTTCCATAAGATAATATAAAATTTATTGACACAAACAAGAATGTGCTTGTATTGATATATGTGTGTGTGTATATATAAGTATCAGTGTATATGTGCTTATAATTGTGTATGTTTATACTATTACTCTCTTTCCCTGTATGTATTATTTTTGTATATTTGTTTTCTCAGGAGTCTCATTATATATGGTGTTTTTTTCTATAGCCTCACATAAAATGTAATCACATTGAGAATTTCAGCTTTTATTTAACCCAACTTTTAAGTACTTCTTTAGCTGAGGGTTCAAGAAAAAAGATAAATCACAAAAAAACTACTTAATTTTAAAAAACCCCCCATTTTTCCAAGTACTTTCCTCCATAATCCCATTTTTAATTTAAGAAAAATGGAAGTGTTAATAAAACGTCTTTCAAGAATCCTGAAAAATATGGCTTAATCTGGGCTCATGTTTACTGTAGAATTTACATAATTTTCAGTTATGTATTACTCCATGCAGCTAAACTCTCATCCATCTCTGCTACTTCTCTTCAATGCCCAGATTATAAAGCTTGGGCTGGTTATCCAATGGCTTTTCAGATAGGGTGCAAACTAAATGACTACAGGGCTAACCGTTTTCTTACACTATCAGTCTTTCTTGCTTATCCAGAACAGTTATATTCTTCCCACATCCCTTCTCCTTTGCAAAGGATCCACAGTACCTTATTTTCCTGCAACTCTAAAAGCCATGTATCATACCTAGAGGTAACAAGGGCAAATGTAGCATCCGATGTAGGCTCAGTAATTTCAGAATGCTTTTTCACTGTGGGTACTTACAAGCAAATTAAATTGACACAATGGCATCATTTGGTGGTAAAAAGAGACTGTGGAATAGCTGGAGCAATAATTTTGAGAGATACACTTCGCCACTTTAACATTTTAAGGAGTTTTAAATGGGACATCCAGTCAGAATGACTTAACATCTTGATGAGGAACTATCGTACTATTTGTACAAAATAGAACAAGGGGATCACAGATCAGCACAATTCTCTGTGAGGGAAGTCTTATTTTTATGTTATCAATAACTCTTTCTTAGAGAAATACATCATCCGTATACTTTGTGACATTTTTCATGCCCTCACAGAGAAAACTGATGAAATTGAAAATGGAACTTGCCTTTCTTCTTCTCCCTTTTGTTCCTTTTTCTGTATTCTTTCCAGTGTTACAGATGTAATACTCCTTTTTGTGTTCTTATCACCTCACCCTATTCAATTTCTCTTATAACACTTATCTCTAGTTCTCTCCTTCCCTTAACATTAAATTCTTATGCTTCTCTAGCTCTTTCCATTCATAGTACAAGAGTACTATGCAGTCACTCCCATATTTAAAAAAAGTACTAACAAAAATATAGAAGTTTGACCCATCTCTTCTCATCTAGTCCCAAAACCTTTCACCTGAAAGCAAGTAGGACACACTATTTCACGGAAATTTTCTTACCTAGAATTCCCAATTTCCATTTGTGTCCTAAAGATTTTCTAACCTCTCCTGTGTGTCTCATATTTCTTTGAAATAACTCTTACTAAGATCATTTCTCAGAGAAAAGTTAAAACCAGTATTACATCTTTTCCCTGAAATCTTCCTTCAACAAGTAACTATCCTTTTCTTAAAAGTCTCCGCTCCCTCGGCTTCTGTGATCGGTCATTATAGACTTCTTTCTTACCTCTCTAAGTTTTCTCTTATTGGGTTTCATTATTTATTATTTTTTCCCTTGACATTTATTGATAATTATTTATTCAATCCATAAATGCATATTAAACAGCCATTTATACGCTGCCACCCTGAAAATGTGTCTCAGTAAGCTGAAACAGTTTCTTTTCTTCAAAATAATAAGACTTTTCTTTCTGACATTTCCTTGTCGACAGCTAGTCATAATGTAAACTTTAACATAATGAGCAATCTTTTAAACAACTCCTGTCTCATTAACTTCATTCCTTTTTTATGTTATAATGTAAATAACATCTTCACTTAAGTCTTCACTTCAGATTCTTCTGTTGATACCAAGTCTAAATATCGATGACTACTTCCAGCTAATCTCTCTCTAAGATAAGGCATTTCCTCCTCAACACAGAAAAAGCATTCATGTTCTTTCACCTGTACAAATTAATGTGCACACATCCAACTATCTGTTACTTGGACTATAAACTTTTAGGGACTTTCTGTACTGTGGAAAGCATTAGGGCCTAGTCCACATCTGGAATTCTAGGGATTACTACAATAAAAATCAACAAAACCAAAAACCAACAATGCAATTCCTAGTTCATTGCTGCTAACCCAGATGTACATGTGTAGCACAGAATACTGGACTTATATATTAAAAAAAATAGATGGAAAAAGAGAAAAGGATTTATTTACCTTTTCTTTTCGTAACATCCACAGTCCATGTACAATTCAGTGAATTTGGATACAGATCAGGATAACCAGGGGATAAAATTGTTCCACTAGGTCCTCTAACATCTCCACCACATAAAGCTAGAAATAAGAAAGAAAATAATAAAATTATTAATATAAAACTTATAAAGGAGAGAAAATATAAGAAAACATTTTTTTAAAAACTTCTGGCTTTAAACCGACTTAAATATAATTGGTCAAATGATTCAGCAATTCCACATATAACTACAGCCCATTTTTACACAATATGAAAAGAAATTTAATCAATGAATAATTAACATGCTTTGTAATAGGTACTAAGAAAATGAAAGGCGAGTTTCCTCAGCTGTTTTTTCACATTTTCTTGAAAGCCTGTGAAAGTCAGAAGTTCAGCAGGAAGATGAAGGCAGAAGAAGATATGGAGCCAAACAATATCGCTTTAGCCAGAAGCTAAGGCTGGAGAGTAAAAATGGCAGAGTGGATCTCACTATTGAAGAGTTACTGACTGAAAATATTATTGCAAGGAAGCATGGCATCCTTTCTTGTATCTAATTATTGGATATGCATCTATATCTATAATGCAAGTCATAATGACAATTGCCAATATAAGTCTTTCTATAGTATTAATAGTGACTTTGTAAAAGTAATCAGTAATTGAACAATATAAAAATTAAATTATAGCTTGAATTAATACAAAATACAAAAATAAAATCTTACAACACTGGCATAAATATCTTCACAATTCACCATTACATTTTAATGGTGAATTTTCAATTCCAGAGCTTTTGAAATACTAAATTAATTGAGTAATTTTTAGTAGTGAAGAGGCTCTTATACCTTAGAATTATCTTTTATCAATAACAGTGATTAAAACTCAGTACCAAAGTTATTACATCATAGTTCTCTGAATATAGATTGTCTCAGAAGGGCATACATTATAAAACAAATGAGTATTTCTACTTTTTTTTTCTTCAAGATTAAAAACATCCAGCCCTTTTATTTTGCTTAACCTAATTATATGCATTACCAAAATTATTTTGTAGACATGTTCCAGGATACAAAAAACCAGTAAACTATGTTACTGCACCAGATTTAAGTCAAATAATATAGACTGGTTTAGGAAAGTTGATTGCAGTTCTTAATATGAGCAGCTCTTCCAAATTAATTAACACAAACTCTCCCTTTTCAGCCTTAAGTAATCAAGCTCTCAACCAGTGTCCTTTCAGAATGTTTATTGGTATCAACCATAGTTTCTCTGAGCCCGCACCTTAACCTAAGCCAGTATTCAGCATTCCCATTTTTAACAAGTTTTTCTCTTTAGCAGATGCTAAAGCTGTTGAAAGGCAGTTTAGGAGATAAGTAAATGGCAGTGACCTGTCTGCGGTTCCAATCGATACAGCTATCAATCCCTCTTCCCCTTGTTGTATAAGCCATTGCTCACCCATCGCTCGCGTCTGTGCTTCCCAGCCTGCTGCCACACCAGTGAGGGTGAGGGAAGGAGCCTGTCACAGGCTGGAGGAGCAATACCTCTTTCTGAGAGAGGTTGCCCCACCTGCACTAGCTGGTTTAACCTGCTCCTACTCCTCCTGTAACATCAGCAGCAGCTACCAAGGTAGCACTCAACAGTATAGATCATAAAGGTGGGAGAAGTTTGGCCTTTCAATATATGAACAGTGCTCAAACATCTTCATACTTCTTCAGGAGAAAGGTGTTGTGAGTAATTTGTTACAACATCCATTTATTCTATTATATCTTGATATTTATTCTACTTACAACAATTTCTGCTACACATTGATGGGGTAAATAATGAAAGTTATACCTATCTTTGCTTTTGCTATTAACGCTATTTATTTGAGAATGAATATGTTGACCAGTCATGACTTTCTGCTTGTAGAAGTACATTCAAAACTGATCTGAGGACAAATCATACAGTGAATCAAGAGAATATCCAGAATGTACCTTCTGTCTTACCCTGTACCTAAGCAGACATTTGTCTCAAGGAAATACATGCATTTTTCAGACATTTCAGTAGCACTGTGGAATGTTTTCATAAAGGTCAATAATTTTTCATAATGAGGTTACTGCATTGCATGCCATCACTATCTTTAGGGCACTGAATAAAAAGAAGTATACATTTAATTACAGTTTTCTTATAAAGCAGATATGGAACTTCATCCTATATCCCAGGATGAAGATCACCCTATTTTGCCTAGTTAAATTTGTTTGATTGTTCTAACCACGTTTCTGTTTTAAACATGTATCTTTGTCTGGGTAGCCTCATGATTTCTTTGTGTGTGCTATTTCTCTTGCCAACTTTCTAGCCTTTTTGGCCCAGTTGTAAGCTGGAAATTTGCAGATGCAGTACCAGAGGCTGAAATAGGACATTCCAGGACCACAACTGCCCAATCTCATAATTGTTGTCACAGGGGAATAACCTCCCACCATACTAATTTTCCTCGTCACTTCTCTGATGAAAAGACAATGGAGGTAACTGCTGTCCACTTATCACCTGATCTTGTATTTAGACATTAGTAAAACAGAATCAGGGCTATGACAGTGTTATTGGAGCTTCTGATGGTAACTACCTACTTTGTCCATACAGCCTATTAAATAAGAAAATGCAGGTCAGCCCTATTAAATAAGAAAATGCAATCAGTTTTTATAATCATGGGAAACAGCCCAAACAAAGAATGTATTTTAGAGTGGGTGTTTGGAAAACCTTTCAGGAATGCAAATGGTGACAAAACATCTATGGCGTGCCATCAGGCACTCAGTGTAACTCTATGAAGGTTAGCAGATGGCAAAAAAAGGCATCAAGGGACCAGCATTTTTCAAAACAAAGCCAGGTTGACAGATCTGAAATATAAAATGTGCGCTGGTCCTGATAAGATGGCAAACAGCCCAAGCATATAATATCACTACTAGTATCTGACTCTTTTTCAGAGTGTAAAGGAAAACAGAAACACATGGGAAAAAAAAAAGCAAAAGATAAACTCCACACATTTTTCCAGATTCTACAAGGATCCTTTCTTTCACTTTATCTGATTATACAGAGATGGAGGCTAGGACAGACTAAAAGTAGAACGAATACATAAGCAAATAACTGAAGCACTAGCTTGGTGTTCTAATGTGGAAAATAGAATACTGTGTTGCTAACACACTAATTAATAATTTCTTTGTTATGCAAGCAGAGAAGCTGAATCAAGACATGCCTAATTTTTTTTTTTCCCTCCAATACTAATGTTTCTGTTGCTAACACACTAATTAATAATTTCTTTGTTATGCAAGCAGAGAAGCTGAATCAAGACATGCCTAATTTTTTTTTTCCCTCCATTACTATGTTTTCAGAAAAATGAGAAACAAAATAACAAAAAATAAAGAGAACAAAAAATAACAAAATATAGAAGTGACTGTATGAAATACAGATAGGTGCCTGGATGTATAGTATAAAGCATCTCTACAGCACTGTGGTGATCAGAAATGATGTGACAACTTAAGAAGCAAGTTTTGGATATCTGTGAATGAAGATTAAAATTTAATAGTGGAGTTCAGTGGCTAAGCCAGTTGTTTAGATGAAATAAATTCTTACAGCGCTGGGTTGATTACTTACACTTTCTTTTGTTGTAAATGATCATAACTGCATTCATTTTGCTCAGTAACATCATCAGTCAGAAGGAAGAGTGACAGCAAGCAAGCCTAACTTAGAAAATGGCCCTACATAGTTTGAACATAATTTTGGAATTTTAGAACCTTTATTCAGGCTACTTGTAAGTGTCTCGGTGGGAGACATACAGGCCATGCTTCATCCCTAAAATACATGAATAGCTGTAATGAAAGCACTTGACTTGTGTCATTCATAAAATTATCAGGTTCCATTTCAGGCCATATTTCATGCTAATATAAAACAGTTATAGAAAATCAATCTTCCAATACTAGAAATAGTCTCGTAATTTCTAGTCTAAATTTATTCATGGCCCATTTTTACCCATTTGTTCTGTTAAACTGTCATTATGTTCTCTTCCCTCTTGGGGACTCACTTTGGAAGGGTGGCAAAGCATATTAGTATCTCTGACTTTGGATCAGTTAAATGAGACAGGATTTCTCAATCTACTTCTGTAAGATACATTTTCCATCTCTATGACCACTGCATTACCAATTGCAAGTACTTACCTGTCTTTCTTGTCACAGCAGCTGTGCTACACAAACATATTGCTAGGACACTTCACATTAGATTGTGGCAGCAGCTAATAAGCAAGGAAGGTGACATTTTTGTTCATAGATTTTTTTTCTATTTTTTTCATGTCCTTTTTTCTATTTTTAACATATTTATATTTTACTGCAGAAGTCAGTCTGTATAACCTGTTCCTGCAGAGGTCAGCCTGTATAGCTAGCTTAACGCTCCTTCAGAGAAAAGCCCCTTACCTCTTAAATTTTGCTTTTTATACCATGAAATAAAACTCAACAACCACTAATTATGTTCTCTGGCATCGAAGGTCTTTGAATAAGGTTTACTACCTATTTATAACTAATTTATTTTGATGTAACACAAGTCAGTCTCAGAATGATGAAGGGCATAGCAATAATATGAAGTTATCAAGAAAACTGGATGTGAGAAGGGGGTCACCATATCCAAGAAGGACAGAAAACTCTCAAGAGAATGTGTTTGTTATTTTAGGAAGGCAAGAGAAAATAATACACCTATATAAAAATACATGCATCCGTGTATTTCTATATATGGTGTTCACTAGCAATGCAGTAAAAAAAAGTCATATCATTGTCCCTTTTTAGCCTGACTGAAAATGTTGATATCTGGGAAATTAACATTTTACACATTTTCAAACTATATCACCTACCATTTTGATATATAAAGATTTTTCAAGAGACTAGCCATAGATCACCAACCACAACTCAGAAACTAACATACGATGATGTATCTCAATTTTCTCAAAAAAGAGAAAATACACATAAGAAGAACAGAAGCCTTCAGAAAAAAATTACTTTTTTTAGTAAGGCCAGCTTGCTGCAAGTACAAATAATTGAAAACTATTTGTTTTCAATGGTGATGGGAGGAGAAAACATGCATTTATAATTGATTAGTAATAATGATTAGTTTTACAAATGTTTTCAAGCATCATCGAGAAAGACTAATAACATATGCTAGTTCAGAAAGAACCACAGCATGAAAAGAAGATAAACCTATTTATACATAGATGTGTTTGTGTATATATAAATCTAAATACAAGTATATATATATATGCATGTGCTGCACATGTATACAGAGGCCCCATTACATTCATTTGCTTAATTAACTCTAACTTCCAACTAAAAATCTAATTTTTAAAATCTAATCTAAGCAGATTTTCATTTACTGTGTAATTTGATAATAAAAGGTAAATATAAATATAATTAAAAATTATTGAAACAGTGTGAATTAGAATGAATCTTATATACTGTGCTTCATAGATCAAGAAACTTCAGCATCTGTCTTCCCTAATTACAGATGTAATGTGTCTTAAAATGGGATGTAGTCAAGTAAATAACAATATGGACATCAAATTATTATAATCAGCTTCTGGAAGGAAACCTTGGACTTGAGTTATATTACCCTAGAGACTAACCTAATAGAAACTAGTGTAGCCTAGATTACTCACAACGTGAACTGTTGTATTTTTATCTTCTTATTTAAATCTAAACCAGACCAAGACATGCTATCCATTTCCAATTCTGGCATCTACCACACTGAATATTTGCAGCAGGTTTTTTAAGAGTTGTATTTTAATAAAAGTATTGTTTTTAGTTCAGAGATGTCTTAACAGAAATGACATAACACCTCTGCCATATTTCCTGGATATGTTCCTCATGGTACTGCACAAGTCATAGTTGCTAATTCATTTGGACATCTAGGTGTTTTCAATATAAACATTAAATATTTTCTATCTTGCTTGAACATTTTTCTTGCTATTTATTAATTTTCTTAAGTAAATGACCATCAGGTGGAATGACAATATTTATTCTTAATTCAAATAATGCATAAGAATTATTATGTATTAGCATTCAATTGCATGTTGTGATGAAGGGAATAAAAATCACTTTACACTCTTAATTAGGTATCCAACTTTTAAATTAATTTTCCTGTCATTTTTAATGGGATTAATATGATACTTCATATATTGGGTAGAATAGGTTTTCTCACATATATTCAAAGCTTAAAAGCAAAATTCTATTATGATATTCATATAGAAAGGACATGGTAAGACAAAATTTTGTCTCATTTCTTAAGCACTGGGACGAGATTATAGTCAAGAAATTCAGGGGTGTCCAGATAGATAGGTACCCAGTGAATCATATGTAGATGTTAGATAGAATGGTGTAAATGTAATACAAGTAATATTTTCTAAGAAAAGCTCAAAACCATCTATTTTCTCTCAAGTATGACTATTTTCTGGAGGCCTGTACATATTCTAATTCAAAAAAAAAATTATTGTTATTTATTTGGATGTTTTGTTTTCCTAGGTAATGTGTCCCATGTTTATGGTATATAGACCAAACCACATCTTCAGATGAACTATTTCAAAATAAATAAATGTACACAGTAGTATTGATCTTGTTTACCCATGAACCAAAGAAGGAAAAAAAAATGGCAAAAGTCTAGGCCTTGACCAGTGCCACCTCTTTTGAAAAGAAATAAAAAAGTATTTTGCCAAGACAGCTATCCAGAAATTGGTCATACTTAACAACACTAAAGTTAAAAATTAACAGTATCTTTGTAACAGCCTGCAGAGTAATTCATTTCTTGAAAAGAGGCTGATGTTTTGATAGAGATCATTTCATTCTTTGAAGAAGCCTTAATTTTATGGTTGTATAACTTATTTTAACATAGTGGAGCTGCCGTCTTGAAAACTGTAAAGCAATTCAAGTACTGTATAAATTCAAGTAGCTTTCACCACAGTGAAAGGATGAGAGGTAATGGATGTAACTGGAAGATGGGAGGTTCTCAGTAGATGTTAAGAATATCTATTGTGTGGTCAAACAATGGCACAGGTTGCTCAGAGAAGAAATGGAATCTTTCCCCTTGGAGATAAAACATTGTGTAGGATCCTGAGCAACCTGATCTAACATCCAGATTGGACCCGCTTTTTGGGGTATGGGTTTGGACTAGATGATATTCTGAGGTTCCTTTCAGCTATAACTGTTCTATGAATCTGAAAATATTTTCCTTAAATATTTATCTTTAAAGAGCAGAAATAGATCCTACTATCCTCAAAGGTCAGAGCTCTAATTTTTTTTTTTTTTCAGAAATGCTTTGCTATACTTCCGTATACATAAAACTGTTTTTCTGTATGTATGTATACACACACACACACAGAGAGAATACATATGTGCACTGAGGAATAGTGTGCATGCCTTATCTATATAGATACACATAAAAATAAAAACTAAGGAAATTACCTATGAAATCCTTCATGCGTATCAATTATTCAAATATGAATGAATTAAACAGCCTGTCATAATCACCCCCTCAGGCCAGTCTTTAGGGAAGGAAACAGTTCGCTTGTTCATTTTTAAACCATCATTCTCAGTATTGTCTAAATGTTCCTGTAGGTAATGAAGTGTGACTTCCTTGATAAGCTTTTTGTGATGCTTATCTGTGTAACATCCAAACACCTCATGAAAAAATTAGTTTACACTCCTTCAAAGAATAGAACTGCAGTCAACATGATCTGCTTTGATGAAGAACTGGTTCTAAGAAGTCTAAATTTTTTCCTTTTCTACAGCCTTCTCCTCCTCCAAAACACACACACTCACAAGTTGTCATCATCTGTCTGCACAATTATCATGGTCTGTCTGCACATCACTACATGATGTAATTATCAAAAAGAGATGCAATTATCAAAAAGAACAATCAAGAAAGAGCTCTGGTCTTCAGAAACTGTCAGAGTAATATATTGAATGAGCAGGAACAGTGACCAATGTGTTTATTAGTGGCACGATTAATACAAATCCATACACAGAATTTATGCAAAGAACAGCCCATTTAGCAAATGCCCTTTTTTCCCTGGGGGTGCAAGGACTCTGGATCTTATTTTAAAACATTCCACCAGAGAAGAAATTCAGCAATGAAATTAAAATTAGTTCAACCATTAATTGATTAAATTTACTAGAATAAATGTACTCAATCCTGCCTTTAGACCACATTTATTCAATGGACGATTGCCATTTAGCAATGTACTCTGGAGAAAAAAAATAAATCTCATTTACTTAATGAATTGCATGCTAGTTCAGCATCTTGAGGAAGAAATTTATCACAATATGTAAGTTTATTTCACAGCAAAGCACAGTATTCATAGGGAGTGTGTTAATACTCTTTGTTTTAGACGGTTACCATCTAGTGCTTATCACCATAAGAAAACACATCTTATGTTTATGGCCTATTCAGCAAAATATAGTCCCCTTGACTGTGAGCTGTGGGAACCCTGCAATTCTTCATTCCAAGAACCTGACTGAGAAGCAGAATCCTTTAGGAAATGGGCTTGCTAAACTACAGAGTGTCATTTTCAGGAAAGTGATTATTCATGCCCCTTTCTACCACCACAAATTTTGAGTATCATCATATACCGACACGTTCAACCTATTGAAATATAAAAACCAAAGGATTTGCTAACTAAATAAGCTGAAGGCCAAGAAAACCCCTACCATTTTTTAAAGAAAAAAATACAGTGAAAATGAATATATTTCCATATGGCAAATCACACATGATTCAGTGATTTTTTTTGTTAGTCTTCATTCAAATCCAGCTTTTTCTTTCTAACTGAGTGTCCTGAGACACTAAGAACTGTTTTAGAAAAATATACTATCATCATGTGCATTATGTAGCTCACGAAAGTTCAGTAGATTTTTATTGTTAAATACTACTCTAGAATTAAGTCGGTATGTTATTCTCGATAACATTTTTATCATCAGAAAAAAATGTACCGTGCCTAAAGGAAAAAATATATTTTGAGAGGAAAACATCTCAAATACGCAACTTAATAAACATTACAATATACTTTCTTAATATTAAATATAATTGTTATCAACCTAACTGGGAAAATGGATTAAAATGAACAATTCAGATAACAAGAGATGACTGAAAGTATTAGATAATTTTTCAAGCAGACTTTTTTCACGATATGGTGGAGACTCCAAAATGTATGACATGTTACTCGATACCTTTTTTGTCTGGTTTAACAATCATATGCTTAATCATCAGGTATAATGTGGCCCTAATCAATTCCTGCAGTGATTGAATGGTGTCAAGTTCTGTTAACAAGCTAGACACACAGTGATCAACATGAAATGGGAGAAAATGCAGTTTTTGAGTCAGGTTTAAATAAATCGCATTTCATGTTTCGTATGTCAGCACACCTGTGTCCATAGATGGATACTCAAACACAAATATTTCTAACTTGTAGTAAGTGCTTTACAAGCAGATATACATTAACCTTGCATGCCTTGAGCTAACTGGCAATCAGTTAGCTCACAGTAACGTATATTCAGATAGACATATCTTCAATAATCTGCTGATTTAAAGAATTACGTATTATTCTCTACTTTTATTACTCAATATCTCATCACACAGAGGTATATAACATTTATTTCCTCTAACTATTCTTTTTTTCCTAAAAATAGAGGTTTTACAAGCTCCAACATTTAATGCATTTTGACTAATAATAGTTTGGCAAAATGTGTATATTTTAAGGTATTCTGTATTTTATCCATTCATCCTTACCATCACAAGTTGGGAGTGGGTGACTCCACCAGTGATTTTTTTCACATAGCAAAGGCTCCTCATGACTCAGCCTATAACCTGGATCACAACTAAATGAGACAGTGGAACCTATAGAGAAGTCATGTCCATAACGACGTCCATGCACTGGTATGCCAGGATCCAAGCAAGAATAAGTATTAACAGTTACACCTAGATTAAAAAAACAACAACAACAAAAAAGAAAACAGTTAAATAAACAACCTATAGATTTTTTTAAAAATTAATTTAATTAATTCACTGTGCTGTGACTGGGGGTGAAGGCTTCATTATCACATTTTCATTGAATTATCCTTGCACTATGTGTCTCTGTGTTAATGTTATAAGATGTTATGGATAATGAATTGCATCCTGCCACTGTTGCAGAGAAAAACATCACATAATTTACATGATATTTAGTTTGATCCTATCTCAGTAACATTAAGTGATTTTGTCCCTGATGCTGATGTTGAAAAGCTTTGATGATCACTCAAAATTCTGATTTCCAGCCCTTATTTTTTCCTGATCAAACTTTGTTATCCCAGCTAAAATGTTTATTTCTTTTGATATTTATCCTTTAAAAATTTACATAGATCAATTATTTACATAAATAATTCTTATACCTAATGTTATTTGATGTGTGAGATATTGAGAAGATAAAGAATAGCAGAAAAAGGAGCCAAGAGAAGTTGACTTGATAAAGAGAATTTTAATGTGTGCTAAAAAATGAAACCTTTTATATTATTTCCCAGTGAGAAGTTTAATTTCATTATAAAAGAATCAGGGAAAAACAAAAAAAAAGAAACAAAACCCTCTAGGAATATTACTGAAGTTAGCAAATTAGAAGTATTCAGTGTAAGATTTTTTATGGGTGTTATTCCTTTTATTCCTACACAAAAGCCATAAAATAACCTTCCTTATAAAGAAATTCAGTGTGGAAAAAAATAATTAACATAGAAAATAAGAACATATAAAAGACTTCAGCTTTCAATAGGATATTTGAAGAGAGAAATGCTGAATAGAGGACCATTAATCATTATTATTATCCAGAAAAGGGAAATCAGAATTAGGTTGTACTGGATAATATAAGACAATGATCCAAGAAAAAATAAACAAAAATAAAATTAATACTAGATGTCTGTATATAAACAGAGGATGTTAAGCAGAAAACAACCACTGAAAGTGGTTTGTGTAAAAATGGTAGACGTATATTTTCAATGTTCTCTGACAGTATAAATCTAACTTTCATTCTTCACTAGTGTAAAGAGAACTGTGGGTGGGGATCAATTTTAGAAAAAAGGGATTTTATAATGAAATTGAAGAATTTATTTATAATGAAATTTCAGATTTCCTTTGCAGGTTTACTTAATTGAAACAGTTTGATATAAGGATATTTGTAATAAGTACAGCTTTCCTCTTTTTGTTGTTCACATTCCCGAAGTGTAATTTCTACCATTTGACATTATTCATTTAGCCAATAATTTTAAGAATTTAGTGGTCTCTGCTGGCAATATTAATCTAGTTTTCCTGATGTGTAAGGATAGCCATCCTTCAAACTTCAGAATGGATGAGACAAAATCATCACTTCTTCACAATGTAGAAGATGATACAAATGGAAGTATGTGGGTGAAGGCTAGGACAGCAAATAATTTTTGGATAATAATAGATTTCTTTGTAATAAACAGCCAGAACTTGACATTCACTGGAGTTCAAATCAGCCCGAACTTTACCCGGCAAAGTCACTTCCACATATATTGTATTTAATACCCTTTTCATTAGTGGTCAGAATAGTGAAAATGGCCAAAAAGAATGTAAAAAATTAAGAACATCTGAAAATTGCTTGGTGACAGTTCCAACAAGGATGAGTATGAAACAGAAATGAATAGATAACAATGTGCTCATGACCTTTACTAAGCAAATTAGACAGTGATTACAGAAAAACATTATTTCACATGAAAATATGACATTACAACAAAATGTATATTTAGCAACATTAAAAGTAAACAACATGACAATGTATCAACTTAAATGAATTTTAAGAATTCATAAAGTATGAAAACTTACAGATATTTTCTGCAGTGTAGTTTATATTAATATAATAAGGGAAAAAGAATACTTCTATATGTCAGAACAAGTCACATATGCAGGTTTTAGATGCCTAAAAATCCACAGCCAAGCTATTCCATAGCTTGATTTTCAGCTCATTAGTATAAACTGCATTTCCCATTACTTTCAGTTAGAGCTGCAGGTACATCAATCAGGACAGAAATTCAGGTACTTCCTTAGATTTTCATCATCTTCCTGATCTCATGCAGTTTTAAAATCATAGAATCGTTTAGGTTGGAAAAGACCTTTAAGATCATCAAGTCCAACCGTTAACCTAACACTGCCAAGTACAACACTAAACATGTCCCTAAGCACCACATCTACACGTCTTTTAAAAACCTCCAGGGATGGGGACTCAACCACTTCCCTGGAAAGCCTGATCCAATGCTTGACGACCCTTTTGGTGAAGAAATTTTTCTTAATATCCAATCTAAACCTCCCCTGGCG